TATATATATATATATATATATATATATATATATTAAGCAGGGTGATAATAGCCCCGCCCCACAAAACATGGGATGGGACATCGCACCATTCTGGCCCGACTTACGCCCTATTCACTCCGTGTGATCGTCGCAGTCGGCTTCTTCATTATCGGCGTCATCGTCGTCATACCCGCAATGCTGTGTTGATTCAGTGTGCTCGTTTGCACGTTGAGGCCGAGTGACCCTGCACACCCTTATCCAACGCAGTCGCTCTTGCTTCGGCTGCAGCATCCCCAAAGATTTCACGAGGGCTTCAAGATGGCAGATGGGGTCACGTTTGCGTCTTGGACCGGTCATCGGCGGCATGCGGCGCCTTCTGATTCTTGTCAGCCGACGGTCAAAAACCTTAGTACCTGGCAAGTATGACGAGCACAACGATGACGACGACGCTGACGACACTGACGACCATGACAACAACAACGACGACAAAGGCGTCCTTCTATCGATCCCCATGCCTCACCAGAGGATACACCTGCTTCTCATCTCGAGAGGAATCCTGCCGCGACGACGAGGAGCATCCTGCAGGCCTACAACAAAACATAACAACGTGCAGCAACACGCGAATCTCAAATGTCGGACCTCTGACGGCTATACTTTTCAATCCATGGCCCCCCCGAAACCCGACGTCCCGACCCTTTCTCCTGGGCCGGTTTTTCACCCCACGAGCAGTGTAATGACTGCCCCAGGGCCTGGCTGACGGGCAACCATGCGTTCTTGTTATCGAAGCTCTTCATTTTGGGCAATGACGGCCACGGTGACACCAATCGGGCCCCCTTCTCGCCGTAGACCCCTAACACGACTCCCTTCGGCCTCAGCGGGCGGGAGCGCTTTCTAAAGTTCTCCATGGTGTAGAATTCATCCGCCACCGTGCCGCTGGGCATGGAGTGGGCGTGTCCTCAGGTCCTGGGCCCAATCCTCTAAACCTCAATCCTCATTCCTGGGGAGTCTTTGAGGGACCCGGACCCCAAAGTGCGAATTCTCCTGGAGCTTCCCGCGTATCCCCTGGGCCCCGTCGCGGCTTGTCGAGTGACTTGTTCGGACCCAAGAGGACCTCAAGACGGACCAAGAGGGCCTGAAGGCACTCAAGACGAGCCACGAGAGTCCCGAGAAGGCCAGTGATCGACCCAAGACGCCCAAGATGGCCCCAAGACGGATCCTGAGGCTTCCAAGACCCCCAGATAAGCCTCGAAGTGGCCTCCCGAGAGGGCCCCACGAGGCACAAATCATTGATTTCCCTTGGTTGTTTTAAACACATGTTGGCGTTTTCGCCTTTTCGGCTCCCCACCGCCCCACGACAGCCCACGAGGCCCCCAAGATCGCCCCAAGACGGCCCCAGAGGCCCCCAAGAAGGCCCCATGTCGGCCCAAGATGGCCCCAAGACGGCCCAAAGTCGGCCCCAAGACGGCCCCAAGAGGGGGTCCCAGATGGGGAGCCCGAGCGGACATTTCGAGACCTCGACCCCGAGGGCCCCCCCCCCAGGAGGCTGCAGGAGGCCCTCTAAGATGCCCCGGAGAGAAGCCCCCGAGAGGCGCCACCAGGCCCACAGACACTCCCAGGAGACTCCCAAGAGGCCCCCAGACTGCTCCCGAGAGGTCCCCGAGAGGGCTGCGAAGAGACCCGCAGAACCATCCCCGAGAACCCTGAACCCGCAACCGGGGCACGGTGGCGGGATGGGCCGAGGGCCGCTCGACCCGCCGCCGCCGCCTGTTGGCCTGCCACAGCCCCCAGAGGGCCCCAAGACGGCCCAAGAGGCCTCGAAGACCCCCGTGGTGGCCCCCCAAACGGCCCTGAACTGCTCCAAGAGGGCCCCAAGTCGGTCCCGCGAGGCTCCCGAGACGGCTTCCGACGGCGTCAGGCGGGCCGCGAACGCCCTAAGACGGCCAACAAGGCCTCCAAGAAACCCCCCAAGGCCCAAGAAGGCTTCCAAGACGCCTCCGAGAGACCCACAGAAGCTTCCAGAAGGCCTCAAGCGTCCTCCTCTTCCACCTCCTCCTCCTCAGCCTCCTCCGCCTCCTCCGCCTCCTCCTCCTCGTCCTCCTTCCCCTCCTCATCCTCCTTTGTGTTTGCCCTCCCTCTCCTCCGCTTCTTCTTTCTCCCACGCGAGGGGAAGCGTTTCCACAACGGCTGGGGGAATACACGGCCGGACCGCTTGGAAGAGCTCTGGCCACAATGTCCGGCCAGATGGGCGATTCCAAAAGGCAGGGGGCCGAGAGGCCTACAAGAAGCTCCCAGAAGGCCCCAAGAGTCGTCCTCGTCCTCCTGCTCCGCCTCCTCCGCCTCCTCTTCTTCCTCTTCCTCCTCCTCCTCCTCCTCCTCCTCATCGTCCTCTCTATTTGTCCTCCCTCTCCTCCGCTTCTTCTTTCTCCCACGCGAGTTCCCCGAAGGGTTTCCACAACGGCTGGGGGAACACATGGTCGGATAGCTTGGCAGAGCTATGGCCACAACGTTCGGCCACATGGGCGATTCCGAAAGGCAGGGGGCAGGGGTGATTCGCCGTAGGCGTCTTCGATAGCATATAGCCATTTAGGGATGAGGTTCCTCACCGTAATTTCACAAAGGAGTTCACCCACTCTCGGCCACATTTGCTTCATCATTCTGAATGTCCCCACCGCTTGAAATAACAAAAACAACATGTTAGCCAACGCGGGCCCCCAAAGGTGTTCCTAGCATTATATATATATGTATAACTTGAAAATATACACGCTACTCGTCATAATGCCACGCGAGCCAGGGGAGAGGGCGAGACGATCTGACGACGATCCCGCCCCAGAGCATTCCTTGCTGCCGCGCTCTCGGACCGAGAGCAAGGTGCTCGGAAGGGGTGTCACCGGGCACGCCGTTGAGTGCGACCCCCAGCTGGCCAAGGGGTCGCTTTCTTCGAACACCTGCCGCGTTCGTATCCAGCGAGCGAAGAACGGTATAAAATAAACTTTTCCGTCGTCGGGGACACCTGCCCCTTGGCGGCTGGAAAGTTTATACCCCTACGGTGCCACCGGAAGGGTATAAACTTTCCAGCCGCCCTGGGGCAGGTGTCCCCGACGGCGAAAAAGTTTATTTTATCCCGTTCTTCGCCCGTTAATCGTAGGGTGGGACAGCACCCTGCGAAGCGTGGCGACCGCTAAGGTCGCGCCCGCCCTCTGGCACCGTGATGCTCTCGAAAGAAAGCTGAGCAGGGGTCAGGCGGCCCACAGATCTCGGGAAGGCTGCTGGCTTCATGTAGATCCTCACGCTCTCGATGCACTGCCCCCGCCCTCCCTGCCGACTTCTCACAGCCTTGGCCAGCCATGTCTTGCGCACTCAAAATGAATGTTTTTTTTCGGAACGGGGATGAGTGAGGAACCCTCGGCTCAACGCTCGACCGGGGCGCCAGCATCCCAGTTCACAGCCGCATCGCCAGCATCACGGCGTCACTGCCGTCTTTGCGTCGTCTGCGGGGCACGTGCACGTGCGCGGTGGCGGCCGAAGGTGCTGTTGTCAAGGGGTAACACTGGTCCCACTGTCGCACTTCTAGCATCCGAACCCCGGATAGCAGCGCCGTCCAGAACGCGTGGAACGTCTGTGGGAGACGCTGGCAAGGACGCTGGCAAGCATGCCTGAGGAGCTTGCTTGCTCGGGAAAAGAGCCTCGCAAGAGCTCCCGAGGAGCTACGAAAGAACTGCGGAAAAACTTACGGCACGCGTATTGGGAACGAGTCGGAGAACGCTTGCCGGAACACGCTGGCCGGCTCAAACAGCCCGCTGCGGGGATGCTTGCCTGGGAGCCTTGAAGAAGAGCTGGCGTAGCCCTTGCCTGCCAGTTGAAATTGAACACATCATCATCCCACCCGTCACGGGAGTTATTCATCTTGGGCGATGGCAACTACGGCGACGCCAAGCGGACCCCCTTCCCCCCGTAGACTCCTAGCACGGCTCACGTCGGCCTGGACCGATGGGAGAGCTTTCCAGTGTTTCCCTTAGTGTATGAGATTTACAAGATATACCCACTTCGGGATAAACTCGCTACCCCTGTTAATGTACAAGGGAGAACTCACTCTCGTCCACCTTTCCTCCATTCAAGATTTGTCCCCGCGTGAAATTACAGTCACAAGATTTCTCCTGGGCGACTTCTCACCGCTTAGATCGGACATGTCTTGCGTACTTAAGATCAATAAGCTTTCGGAGCGGGGATGTGCAACCCTCCTCGAATTCAAACGCAAACTTTCGATATTGATCGACGCGCGAAACGCAGCCCACGGGGTCAGATTCTTGCGTTTGCAATCGCCGAATTCGGTGCGAACGCTGAAATCTTGGGGTCCTGGGGCGCCGCCGCGCCGCGGGCAAAACTTGCGCTTGACTTCGAGGAGGGATGTAAGGGCGCCCAGTTCAGGGGGGTAAACATCCTCCTCCTCCCCCTCCTCCTCCTCCTCCTCCTCCTCCTCCTCCTCCTCCCCTCCTCCACCTCCTCCTCCCCCTCCTCCTCCTCCTCCCCCTCCTCCTCCTCCTCCTCCTCCTCCTATCGACCTGGAAGGGGTTTCAAAATGGCAGGCCAGGTTGCACTGGGTCGGTCAAGGGGAGCGCCTCCTGCAGGTCGAAGAGGGAGGCTTCGAGGGACGCGGGAGGAGGGGGCATAGGGGATGGAGGGTGCATCGCAGCACTGCTCATGCATCCTGAGTTTAGTCCTCCTCCTTCTCCTCCTCTCCCTCCTTGTCCTCCTCTTCTTCTTCTTCTTCCTCCTCCTCCTCCTCCCACTCCTGTTCCCCACTTTCCGACTCCCCCTCCTCTTCCACGACGACGGCGGCCCTCCGCGGGGAAGCTGGCTCATCGCGCGGAGGAGCAGCGTTTAACCGATCCCTATCCTCACAGTCGTGACCTTGCCCAAACTGGCACCCACGTTGGAAGGTGAGCTGGTGGATTGAGATACCATGGCCCAGTGTGGATGGGTATACGTTAAGCATGAGGTTCGACGATGCTGAATGGAGGCGCCTGCAGCTTGCCCTTGTCGTTGGGCAAGCTCTTGCCCGCGAAGAAGGCGGAACCACCCTCCGAGAACTGGATCATGACAGGCCGGTCGAGCTCCTCGAAGCTCGAGGAGCAACAGGCGGCATCAACACATGGGAGGCCCAGCGCCGATCTGATAACACGAGGACAATTTTCATGCATGCGCCTATTTCTTCCCTGATCTGTCATCCAACGTGGACACCGGACAAAGTGTTTGTAGCAGTCGACCTATGTGGTACAATCGATGTCGAACAATTTATGTAGTACAATAAGTGCTACAATTTAAATTGTGCAACCGATGTCGTGTAGTGTATCACATGTGGAACAGCGTGGTGCAAGCTATGCTGAAAAGCTGGGATATGTCAGCTCCAATGCTCGCGCAATCCTCCCACCCACCCATCCGCAAGTTGGTTTGCAAAACCCATGCGGCGGCGATTGCGATGACTGCTCGGCGCTGGCTGGCCTATCGCCGCGGCCGCGCTAGCGCGCGCAAACTCGCGCGAACAACGGCCAACTAGTTTGGCGCGACCGGCGCGGCCGGGGTGGTGCTGACCGCTGGGGACTTCCCACCGCGTCTCGCATGCCGTGCTGACGCGCGGGCACTTCGGTGCGAGTCGGTGGCTCGGGCGGGCGCGGTGTCATGGCGTCGTCGACGACGGCGGACACAATGATGATTGCAGCGATGCTAATGACGACGATGACGATGACGACGGCAAGGCGAATGACGGCGCCGATGCTCATCACGCCGATGACGACGCGCGCGGCCGAGCCCGCCCGTTTGGTCGAATCGGATGAAAATTCTGAAATAACCAGTGGTTTCCTTCAGGATTTCCAAAACGGCGCTCGCACATATCTGTTTTGAACGGTCCTGTTGCCAAGCCATGTGCGTTCTATCTGCTTTCGGGACATCCTTACAAAACCAACGATTGTTTGAAAGACATCGGCATGCGCGCGCGGCGACGCGCGCGCGTTTGCGAATCGCCCCGTTTGTTGCGAGGGGCTTTTGAACGCGGATGACTTTTGATAGCGAGAGCGCGCATCGTATTCGGTGCAACGGATACGGGAGAGGGGTCGACGCCGCTTGGGCTGGGGCGGTACGAATTCATATTCAAGATCAACGATGGGACAAGGTCATATGTGAATAGCAGATTCCCAAGGCGGGCGGACAATCCCGGGGGGAAGGGATCCTGATTCTTGTTTGGTTTCAGAACGGAAAATCTATGTGGTGCAATTCGCCCCGGTGGACTTGAACGTGTCAGCTCCAATACTTGCGCGGCCGCCCCGCCCGCCCATCCGCCAGTTGGCTTGCGAAAGCCATGCGGCGGCGATTGCGATGACTGCTTGGCGCTGGCTGGCGCATCGCCGCGGTCGCGCTGGCGCGCGCGGGCTCGCGCGCGCAGCGGCCAGCCAGTCTGGCGCGACCGACGCGGCCGCGGTGGTACTGGCCGCTGGGGACTTCCCGCGGCGTTCCGCAGGCCGCGCTGACGCGCGGGCACTTCAGTGTGAGTCGGTGGCTCGGGCGGGCCCGGTGTGATTGCGACGTCGACGACAGCGTGCACGATGATGTCTGGTTGCAGCGCTGCTAGTGACGACAATGACGATTACGACGGGAATGCGAATGATGGCGCCGATGCAGACCACGCCGATGATGATGATGATGATGTCCACGTGTCGGTGATGAAGCTTTTGCAAGGATTTCGACACGCGCGCGCGGCCGACGCGCGCGAGGGGCCCGCGTGACATGATTCGACAGGGATCGTCCCCCCCAGCACGCGCGCGCGCGAGGGCTTTCGAATTGTTTCGGCATGCGCGCGCGAGGGGCCCGTTTTGTCGTGTTAGCTGAACATGTGGAAAACTGGCGGTTTTCTTCGGAATTTGCTAGGGCGCGCGCGCAAATCTTTTTTGAAATGTCATGTTGCCAAACCGTGTGTGCTTTACCTGTTCTCGGGACATTCGAATGAAATCTTTGCGAAACCGAATGGTTTTTGAAGGATTTTGGCATGCGCGAGCGACGACGCGCGCGTGCGCGCGTCGTCCCATGTGTTGCAAAGGGTTTTTGAACATTGACATTTTTAAATGAACGAGCGCTCGCATCTTATTTTGCGCTGGGGAATATGCGGGGGGAGTCCATGCCGCCTGGGCTGGGACGGTGCGAACTCATACCTCAAATCAACGATGGGGCAGGGCCTTATGTAAATTGAACATCCCCAGGGCGGGCGGACAATCCCTGGGGGAGGAGATCCCTGGGGGGTCTATCGTAATTCATTTCTAGAGCTGGTAATATATGTGGTGCAATTCGCCAGGCCAGACTTGAAGTTATAAGCTCCACTGCTCGCGCAACCGTCCCGCCCGCCCACCCGCAAGATGGATTTGCAGAACCCATGCGGCGGTGAATGCGATGACTGCTGGGCGCTGGCTGGCGCATCGCTGCGGCCGCGCAAGCGCGCGGGCTCGCTCGCGCAGCGGCCAACTAGTCTGGCGCGACCGACGCGGCCGCGGTGGTGCTGGCCGCTGGGGACTCCCCGCGGCGTTTCGCAGGCCGCGCAGACTTCAATGCGAGCCGGTCGCTCGGGCGGGCGCGGCATCATGGCGACGCCGACAACGGCGGACACAATGGTGGTTGCAGCGGTTCTAGTGACGATGATGACGATGACGATGGCCAGGCGAATAACGGCGCGGACGCTGATCACGCCGATGGCGATGACGGTGTCCACGCGTCGGTGATGAAGTATTGCTCGGATTTCGACGTGCGCTCGCGGCCGACGCGCGCGAGGGCCCGCATGGCATGGATGTCCTGCCAGGGGCTCGTGGAGAGCTCCTGGGCGAACTTGGTCGCCGCAAGTGCTGGCTTGTCGCTGCTGAAACCATCATCTTCGATGGGCGGGCTGTCGGCATCCAGGTCAGCGTGGGTGGCGCCGCTCCTGCTGGCTGCTCAACCCCCCCCCGTGCTGAGGGTGGCGGGCTGCGCGCGGCCGCCCTGGCTAGCGCAATCTGCGCCGAGGCTGCGCTGCGTGTGTCCTGGCTGCTTGGCTGGGCGCCAGGCCTTTCCGTTTTGGCCGGGGCTTCGTTTCTGTCGGGGGCCTTGTAGGAGGACCATGGCTTCGCTCCGTCGTCGTGCTCCTGACTGGCTGGCCGCATGCTGTCGACCTCGGCGACGCATTCCAGGGGGGGGGGGCGGTCGTCTGCTGCCCTGAAGAGGGGGGAACACTTGGGCACGGCATCCCAGTCGGCATTGTCGTTGTCCCAGCCGTCCCGCAAGTTGTTGTCTACGACCCGCAGCGGGGTGACGACCGTCCACCCTGGGTGCTGTGTCCTGGGGGCGCGGGCGCCCGCTGTGGCCTTGCCTCTTGCGAGAATCCAGAGGTTGCCGCCCTGGGCCCGCTTCCCTGGATCTGGGGGCCGTCGTTCCGTTGCTGGTCTGCGCGCTTTCTGTGCTCATCGCCTTTGAAGTGGGCCTCCTCCGGGGCGCATTTCTGGCAGAGCTCGCGCTATCACCGACAACAATTTTCACAGGAGCACCAGCGCATTCAGGGAGCCCTGCGGCACTAAAACCTCGGTTTGCCGCTGGTTCCTGGTGGTGGCCCATCGGGCTGGCGCGGGTGCCGCGAGGGCCACCTCTTCGTGGGCCTCTAGGCCTGCGAGGGTATTGCTGCGCGGTGGGTCTGCTGTTAAGTCTTCCAAGTAAACCCAGGTGCGACTAACTGCCGCGCTTGCTGGTGGAAAAGCTGCGCAGGGTGGCGCGGGGAGGGCCTCGACGGGCGGCGCGATCCCGATCGCCCGATGGAGGAGGGGGGCCCAGCCGCGCGGCGATTGGCAAAGGGGGCGGCGGGTGAGAGGAGGAAGGGGGGCAGCGCGCCGAGCCTCGTGCCACCTGGAAGATTGCCTGGCTCATGTTTCGAGCGCATCGGCGAGCGCGCCAAGGCTCTCCAGGTCGTCTCGTCCCGGGAAAAAGCGACGGGATGGGTGGGTGGGAGGGAGGGTCCTGCGCGTGCCAGACAGTCCACGACCGCGCCGCCAAGTCCCTGGACTGCCTCGACTGGTCCGCCCAGAAGACGCCCATGGTTGCCAGCCGATCGCTGGCTTTGTTGAGCCGCCGCCTGACGGCTTGCCACATGAGTGCCCAGCCCGCTCAATCAGCGGCCGTCGGCAGCGCCTGGTCCCCGCTCCGTGGCGGATGGCGGCAAGGTTATCCCCGACCACCCGGGCGCCTCTGATGTCCGGGGATGTGATGGCTAGCGTGCTGAGCCCAGCGCGGCAGCCTGTGGCTTCAGCCAGCGCGGCTGCGTCTGAGCCGGGGATGGCAACGACACATGAGGCGAGCTGCATCGGCGACCCTCCGTCAGGTGGGTGGCGCCGCAGGGTGGCGCCTGCGCCTGCCACTTCGCCCCGGCGTTCGATGGGCCGCGCTCCTCCGTCGGCGACTGCAATCGGGCCCGGTCGTGAACGGGCAAGGGGGGCCTTCCTATTGCGACTTCCGCCAGGGCGTCCAGGCCAACGTAGGTGCAGAGGGTCTGGCAATACTGCCGACCGGTGCGGCGGCGCCGCGTGCCCCACCTGGCGTTTGCGCCCTGATCCGAGACTCTTGGGGTGGGGGGCCATCCTGGCCCTGCAAGCATCCAGCCGTCACAGCTCTGATCCCATCTGAGGTGGGGGAGGGCGCAGTTGGCGAGGGCGGCTGTCTGGGCCACGGGCAGCCTCCGGATTTCGCCCTGGGCCTGCGCGGCCGTGCTGGTGCCGCGTGGCCTCCCGGGCCCCATGGGGTGCTGGCCAGGGTCGATGGGTGGGCATTCTGGGCGGGTGCCTCCGCCCTGGCCCCATGCATCTGGGGGGTCAACTCTATTATAGACTGGGGGATCTTGGGTGTAATCCTCATTTTGGTCTGGGTCAAGACGATCTACTGCCATCCCTGCCCGCGTGAGGCTCGCCGCGGCGTCGGCGTCCAGTGGCTCGTGGAGGAGGGCCGCCGCGTGAGTGAAAGCCGCTGGATGTAAGAGGAGGCCGAGCACGCCGCGGCGCGGCCTGGGCGCCATGATGACGTCGGCGAGGAAGAGATGGGCATCGGGGGGCCAGGCGAGGCC